GGGGCGGGCGGGGCGGGGCCTGCGGCTCTGGGCTGAGGGGCTAATTTTCTTCTACTGCTGCAGCCTGCTGCTGGTGCTGCCCTGCGTGGCGTTGGGTGAGATGGGCCTGCCCGCCCCAGCCCGCCTCCCCCTTCACCCACTGCTCAGCCTGCTGGCCGTCAACCTGGCCACGCTGGCTATCCGGGCCGCTGACCTGCTGCTCTACTGCGACCAGCGGGTCTCAGCCATCTTCATGGCCAAGAACCTGCTGGCCATCGTGCTCAAGGCGTGCACGGCGCTGCAGCACCACGGAAATGGGGCTGCTGGGCTGGGGGAACCACCCCCTGGGGACATGTCATGTCGCACACTCCAGCATGGGGGCCCGGACAGCACCTCTGGGCCCAGGCTCATTCCCCGGGAGTTCTGAGCTGGAGGGACCCTGGAACATCCACACCCTCAGCTGCAGGGATGCTGCCTGAAGGCACAGGGCTAGATCCCCAGCTGGGGTGAGCTGGCAAAGCTGCTCTGATTTAAACTGGCCTCCTGGCTCTCACACACATGGGGCAGCTCTGATCACAAACTTCCCTTGGGCACAAACCCCCATTCACTAAGGGAGGACTAGCTTAGAACGGGGTTGAGGCACTGGGAGAGACGGGGCGCACAGGGCTGGCATTGAGGGGAGCGGCAGAGCTGTATGAGTGAGGCCAGGCTGGGCTAGCAGAGGCTGTGGGTGGAGATGGAGGGGCACCAGCAGCACTGGGGCACGAGGCAGGAACCACCCTGGCCCTGTGGGCTCCTCCCCGCACTGCAGCACACTGACGACCACGGCATGACTCACCATCCCCCTCTGACAGCTAGTCTGAGACATGGGCCCACATCCAGCTGACCTTGCGGTGAGGGATGAGCACAGCGAGCCCATTGGGCCTGGCATATGGAGAGGTAGGGAGCACGTGCCCGGGCCTGGCTGCGCCGTGCAGGACATGGGGCAGAGGTGAAATAAAGAAGAGCTAACACAGACCAGAGCTTGGATCCCACTGTGCGTCGTCCCCATGGAGCCCTGGGGCTGGACACGGTGGTGCACCACAGCCTGCAGTCACCACCCAGTGCCCCCAGGGAGCACCCTCCCTGTCCATAGGGAAGGAGCCCTGAGCAGCCGGCAGGGAGATGGGAGGCCGCATTATAGACTGGGAGTCAGAACTCCTGGGTTCTGTGCCCAGCGCAGTCACTGACTCATTGAGACACCTCATGTCCCTCTCCCCGGCCCTCAGCTCCCCCAGCAGAGTTCAGGGCATTCCCGCCCCAGGGGCGGGCGGTTAGTGAGTGACCACTGAGAGTGCTGGGAAATCCCCTTTGAAGGGCTGCTGCCCGTGGAGCTGGGGTCCCCTCTCCCATCTCCGGGGAGAGGTTCCCACATTGGTTCCCTTAGACTAGCCAGGCCCAGCCTAGCACCAGCAGCTCCTGGCTGTGCTTGGCCCCCCCAGCTTAAGAGAAGGGGCCTTAACACTGACCCTTCCCGGCTCCCATCCTGCAACCACTCCCCTGCCCCGGCACTGGGACAGCCACCTCTGAGGTAGGCAAAGGGGCTGTTTAAACAGGGCTCCCTCCCTCTTTGGAAGGGGAAGGCCCCGTGTCCCAGGCCCTGGTCCCTCTGTCCCACCCAGCAGTTGGGGGAGGGGAAATGGGCTAGGGACAGAGAAGAACAAGCCACACTCTGTCCCTCTCAAAAAGTCTTTCCCAGGGGCCTGGAGGAAGAACTCAGGGCTGCCAGCTCATATTTACAGCAACCCTCAGCCCCTTCTCCAGAGCTGGGGCATTCCAGCTGAGGGCAGGAGCCAGTGGGGCACCCCTGGGCCCTGGTACAGCAGGGATCCACATGGAGGGGACAAGGCAGCCTGGCAGGGCTTGCCACACTGCCAGCAGAGGGAGGCCAAGCGCCCTGCTGCTGGGACAGACGCCCACTACCCATCTGCTGGGCCCACCCGTGCCAGGGAGCAGCATGGTCTTGGGGAAGGGTAGGAGGGTGCATGGGCTGGGCCTTAGGTGCAATCCCTGCCACTGACTCCTTGCATGACCATGGATGAGTTGTGGCTGCTCTGTGGGCCTCAGCTCCCAGCTAAGAGCCTCGCTGTCTCTGCCTGTCAGCTCTTTGAGGCAGGGGCTGTCTCTTGGGGTGAGTCTGTGCAGTGCTGGGTATGATCCGAGCCCCTGCACCACCCGGGCGGATCTCAGCCGGGCAGAGGAGAGGGGTGTGCACAGCGCCCAGCAGAACGGTGCCTCTGGGCTCTACCTTTGTACAAGCAGCAGCTGCAGCCAGCGGAGCATTTCAGCCCTTTAGCCATTGTCTGAGCAGAGCCTGGAGCCCCAGCAGCATGGACAGGGTTGCAGCGGCCAACGTGACAACACGCAGGCACCGTGCTGGGCAGTATGGGAGCTACACGGTGGGATCGGGTGCAGCAGGTGCTTGTGCAGTCCGATGTCAAGGCCAGAAGGGCCCGTTCAGCTCCTGCCATCTGACCCTGAGTATCACGCAGGCTGGCTAATCCCCCCCGGGGATCCTATCCACAGCTGCTTGCTGACTGGAGTGAAGATTTAGAGAAAGACACCTGGGCTGCACCAAGACTCCAAGCCACAGACTCCCTTTGTGTCAGCGGCAGCAGTGTGGGGTGCCAGGCAGGAGCTGGTCCATAAGGGGAGCCAGTTTAAAAACCAGCTTCCCTTGCATACTGGCTGCCTGCTGCCCCCCAGCTGTTGCCTCTGATACAGAGGCAGCAGCCCCTATCCAGGGTGGGTCTGAGCTCCTGGACCCGACACAAGCCAGAACTGAGCCAGACTATCTGCCTGGCTCCTAATACACTTTAAACACAGAGCTGCAGCGGGGGAAGGTCCTGGATCTGGCACAAGCCAGGACTGAGCCGGGCTGCTGGCCAGCTGCTAAAAAATTTACTGGTGGGGTGGGGGTGGGGAAACACATGTAGTCTACTCTATAGCATTAATGGATAAGCTGTGGTTAGTTAACTACACTATTACATCCCTCCCACCAATCCCACAGCCTTGAGCACCCCATCTTGTGAGTTGCTATAGGAGGCATCAAGAACCTTGGGGAGAGAATTATTTTGGAGCATCGCTGTCCTAGACACACCCGCTGACCTTGCAGAGAACCTCATTAACCCATGCCACTCGTTAAACATCCCGACCCTCCCAGCATTGCACTCCCCACCCCAGCTCGCACATATAGTGAGGGGCTTGGCCTACCTGACCCAGGACAGGCCCCAGGGGAGGCCCCGGCACCGCCTGCCCTGCCCTGATGATCATTCGGATGACATTCCCGGGATTGACCTTCTTCACAGCTTTGGCAGCACGGGAGATTTTTGACATGGTGAGTCTTGGCTGCGAGGTGAGTACAGAGGTGAGGGGAAGTCACAGGGACACATCCAGCCCCAGGGAAACTGGCAGCTTTCTCTAGCACCCACCAAGCTGGCACTAGGGAGGGCACCTCTTGTACTGAGGAGGTGCCATTGACCTCAGCAAGTTGTGGCTCATGCCACAACAAAGTTAGAAACCACTGCACCTTGATGGTCGTAGTGCCTCCCAGCTCTCTTATACAGCCATACAGATACCCCCCTACTCAACCACTCTAACATACACCCCAAGCACACAGCTCAGCCCCCCAATCCCCGGGGCCCCCATACACCCCAAGCACACAGCTCAGCCCCCCACCATACTACTCAAACCCCTGAACCTCACCCCTTTGCCTCCCACCTCCGGGACCCGGCTGCTGCCTTGTGCGCCCCACGCGCTCGGAACTCACCGGCTCAGCCCCACTATAAACCGCGCTCGCGCCGCTCAGCCCAGCCTGGGCGCAGCCATACTAGGGCAAGTGGCTGGGCGAACGGCATGCCGGGAGCTGTAGTTCCCTCCCAGTCACGTGCGCGCCCAAATGCATGCCGGGCGATGTAGTTCTCACTAGCTCTTCCTGTGCTACTCCAAGGGCATGCTCCAAGAGTTGTAGTTTCCTTCCTCCGTGTGCATGCTGAAAGCGGGTGTCTCCCCTCACAGGTGCATGCCGGGAAAGGTAGTTCCCATGTCAAAACAGGTGAGACAGACAAGAACATGTAGTGCTCTGGTTTATTCCAGGGAGCAGCTCGAGCCATCCAAGCTCGTTATTCTTTATAACCCCCCAAAATACTTCATTCTTCAGATGAAGTGGGCTGTGCCCACAAAAGCTCATGATCCCATCTACATGTTTTGTTAGTCTATAAAGTGCTACCAGACCATTTGTTGTTTTTGTCTGTAACAGACTGACTAGGCTACCCCCTGAAGCTTTGTAACCCAAGGTGTTCGGTTCCCAGTGCCTTCTCTCGCCTCCTCCAGGCTTTCTAGCAAACGTGTGGCATCTTCCCCAAAAGGTAGATTCCCTGTACATGCCATACAGAGGCAGTCTTGAGCAACGCCAAGCCTAAATGCCCATAAGAGCGTGGCCCGAAAACCCAGGCAAAGATCCGTTTTTAACGTAAATACGTGAGGGGATGATTTTTGTCTTCTGATTTCTGAGCCTTTACGGGGCACTTGGGAAAGCTTTTTTCCACACTCAGGAGAACTGACTTTTAATTACTTATTTTAATGAATGCTGAGATTCTTCTGTAATTCCAAGAGTGCAGGTGCTGGAGTTTAAAGGGAAAAAACAAATATCACAAAACTCACAATACAATAAACATCTCAGAGGGGCATAGTCATGTTAGTCTGTGACACAAAAAACAATGAATAGTCCTGTGGTGCCTTAGGCTATGTCTACACAGTGGAGCTATTTCGGGATACCTCCAGGTTCCCAAAATATCGATTGTCTTAAGAGGAAGCCCATTATATCGAAATATAACAGGCTCGCTAGTCAGGCATCCCTGTAAACCTCATTGCACAAGGGATAAGGGACGTTTCAGAATAGTGCTTTATTTAGAAAAAACATTGAAATAAGCTACGCAATTTGCATAGTGCAAATTGCATAGCTTATTTCAGGATAAGGGGGCTGTGTATACGCAGCCTTAGAGACTAACCAAAATAAATATAATATCATGAGCTCTCATGGGCAAAACCCACTTCTTCCGATGAGCTTGAATGGAGACCATAGGAGAGTGATTCCACTCAGTCTCATCTGAAGAAGTCGGTTTTGCCCACGAAAGCTCATGATACTATATGTATTTTGTGGTATGTCTACATTTGCAGCCTAATTTGAACTAGGGCTGCAAATGTAGGCATTTGGAATTGCAAATCAAGTCCAGGATTTAAATAGCCTGTGCTTGATTTGCATCTTCTTGGCTGGGCGCCATTTTTGAAATTTACAAGCCCGAAGTAACTGCCCGCGTCTACACACGGCAGTGAAACAGGCGTTCGAAATAAAGCCCTAGTTTGAACTACCTGTTAAACCTCATTGCAGGAGGAATAACAGGTAGTTCGAACTAGGGCTTTATTTCGAACACCCGTTTCACTGCCGCGTGTAGACACGGGCAGTTACTTTGGGCTTGTAAATTTAAAAAATGGCGCCCAGCCAAGAAGATGCAAATCAAGTGTGGGATATTTAAATCCCGGGCTTGATTTGCAATTCTGAATGCCTACATTTGCAGCCCTAGTTCGAATTAGGCTGCAAGTGTAGATACACCCTATTGGTTAGTCTCTCTATGCCTACACTGCATTCCTCTTTCGAGAGAGGAATGCAAATGCAGGTGAACGAAATTGCAAATGAAGAGCGGATTTGGATTTCCCGCACTTCATTTGCATAATCGCATCTGGGCGCTATTTTGAAATACCCTATTTCGAAAAAAGAAACGCTGTGTAGATGCGGTTATTTCGAAAGAAAACCCTTCTTTCGAAATAACCCTTAAACCTCATTGTATAAGGAGTAAGGGTAATTTTGAAAGAAGGGTTTTCTTTTGAAATAACCGCATCTAGACAGCGTTTCTTTTTTCGAAATAAGGTATTTCAAAATAGCGCCCGGACGCGATTATGCAGATGAAGTACAGGAAATTCAAATCCGCTCTTCATTTGCAATTTAGTTCACCTGCATTTGCATTCCTCTCTCGAAAGAGGAATGCAGTGTAGACATACCCTAAGGTGCCACAGGATTACTCGTTGTAATAAAAAAACAACATAGAATCTCTCTTGCACATAGACACTCTGGAATATTTGTTGGCCCTTCTTAAAGTAACTAGAACAGCTGCTTGACAAACAAACCTGATCCACATTTCCCCTCATCTCCCTACAAAAAAATCCCACACCTTTTTGTTGTCGTTGAAAGTTGCAAATTTTAGTTTTTCCCTGGAAATGTTTTGACAAATATAGCTTTTTAAAGGGGCAGGTGGGGTGTGAGGGGAGAGGGAGAGAATGGGATTTTCATTTAGTCAAAAAGCCATTTTTGGTTGGAAAAACATTGATCTGGAAAACCTTCCACCAGCTTCAAGGACTAGTATTATTTCGTAGGAAAATCTGAATGGTCCAGAGCAGCAGGAGAGCAAATAGTGAAACACAAATGGTACAATTTCAAATTCAAAGGTGCTGCAACCACATTGCTCAGCTCCTGGTAGGCTTTAATTTCACCTTTGCACTGTAACATGAACATTAACTCCATTTCCATCCAGCCGCATTGAGTCTTCTCCCACCAACACTCATTTCACTCTGGCATAACCACGCAGACAGGGATGCAGTCACTCCGGATTTACATGGCTGCCAAGGGATAGGAGAACCGAGGTCAATGCTTGGGTGGGCTAAAGGGCCAGACCCTTAGCAAGCATAAATCATTTCGCTTTTTTTTTTACACCAGCCCCAAACATTTTGCAAACCTAGCTATCATTTATGAATCTACATCCAGCTTTCGCAAGATGAAAGTGGGTGCTGGGGGTCCATGGAAGGAGTAACATAATGCATTCTGGGAGGAGAGGGAGGATGTGGTGCTGAAGTACCCCTCAGAACTCCTGCTTCTCCACTCTGCCCTCCTTCCAAAGTTAGTGGTGCCAAGTCTGAACCTTCCCACCTCACCCCTCCCCTAAACTCAAGGGGCTGCCCCAGGAGGGGTCATACTTTGCAAGGTAGGGGAATCCACAGTCCATGTGTCACTCCCACCCTAGGGTATGTCTAGACTACAGGCTTTTGTCGACAAAGCTTCTGTTGACAAAGAGCGCCCAGACTACATCCAGTTCTGTCGACAAAGCAAGCCGCTTTGTCGACATGACAGTGTAGACGCAAAGGACAGTGTAAATGCAGTAATGCCTTCTGTCGACAGAACTCTGTCAATAAAAAGTGTTATTCCTCATAGAATGAGGTTTACAGCCATCGACAAAACTGCTGAGTTCTGTCGACGTTATGTCGACAGAACTCAGTGGCAGTGTAGACGCAGGTATAGTTTTGTTGACAAAAGTCCACTTTTGTTGACAAAACCCTGTAGTCTAGATACTCCCCTAAAGGCCAGCTTCCCAACACTGTCTCTGTGTCCCACAAGGCCGTGGAGATAGTCACATCCCAGATCTTCCCTGTCTCACTGGGACCCACCTGTGCTGGATCCCTCCCTCAGTCGTAGAAGTCGTCCTGGTCATCCAGGCTCTGGTCCTCCCTCAGCACCATTTCCAGGTCTGCTCTCAGCTCCTCTGCGTCACTGCAGAACTCTGTTCGGGTAAAATGGAGTAAGCAGGTGTGGCCAAGACTCCTAGGTTCTATTCCCAGCTCTGTATTAGCCTGTCTTGGTCTGTAGGCATCTCCTCACCTGTGGAACTGCAAGCTGCAGGTTCCTGCGATGGTATCCTGGAGGAGGAAGCACAAACATAGAAGAGTCAGGGCACTCCCAGCTGGGCAAACCCCTACTTGCTCCGAGGGACCATTCTGAACACAGGTGGATCCCAGCCTCAGTGCCCATCCAGTCCTTCCCCCCAGTCCATGGAGTGGGCTGTGTTATTCTAAGGAGAATGAGGCCAACCTGCTCCACCCTGTGGAACTGCCTGCTACCCACCTCCTCCTCCACAGAGAAGACACACCCTGACGGGTCCTTGCACCACTGCCCTTTAAATGAGATCTGCATGTTAAGAAAGAGCATGAGATCTCCTGCCTCCCCCAAGCTCCCTGTCTCTTGGGTCTCAGCTGGAAATGCTTTTCAAAGAGGGACTGAAACCATACAAAGCATCCCCCCCATGCTTCTCCATCTCCCTGTTTATCTCATTCTCTGCACCTGGGAAGGCAAAGGAATCAGCTGCTGCACCCTGGGGAGGGGGTCTAACCTGAAAAAGTCAGTCAGCAATGCCATTGGAAGCATGTGGTGAGAAACTTTACTTTGTATCTCATATAGTTTGGCACTAGAAAGTGTTTTGTCTTTATTTTTCTTGTAACCATCTCTGACTCTTATGTTTATTGCTCAGAATCACTTACATCTCTGTGTAGTTAACGAATGTTGTATCTACTCTGGTGGGTTTAAGTTGGAGTCTGTGTAACTCCATTAGGGAGGCAAGTTGTGTGTATATTATTCCCTTAAAGGAATAATGGACTTACAGGGCTGAGCAGTCAGGGTATACATTTCTGGGGGAAAATCTGAGCCTGGAAGTGTGTTGGGATCAGCCAGCAGCAGTAACCAAGGCTGATAAAAGCCAGAGTGCAACCCAGGCATGGTTGGGAGCCAGGCAGGGTGTGGCATGCATGGTGGAACGCTGTTTGTGAGCAGCCCAGGTGGGAACTGCTGCAGCAAGGTACTGCAAGAGACCTAAGAGGCTGCAGAGCATGGGTGACACAGCCCCTGAGTGGTCTGGACTGCACCCACTAGATCTCTGGGACCAGATCAGAGCACCCTAGGGCTCTCTAGGAGGGAAAGGCCTCATGTCGATCATCAGCCATGGAGCTGGATGCCCTGGGAAGACTCCAGCTCATCCTCCTGGGAAGAGAGATGAGCTGGACCAGGCTTTGCCCACAGAACCTGCCTTGTCTTTTACCCATGGTACCTTGGCCACTGAGTGGTGCTGGCAGGCGGCGCCTCAGCCACCTTTACTTTTCTTGACCCTTCCTCCAAACAGGAGCTTCCCTGGCTGCTTCCCTTCTGTTCCTGGCTCTCCAATGTCCTCTTCTCCCTGCAAAGGGGAGACCACAGAGAAGCCTCAGCATCCAGCTTCTGCCGAGAGCCTCATTGGCTATTCTGCCCCATTCAGGTGCTGATCCCACACCCATCACCAGGGTATCAGGGCTGCTGCCAGCGGTGCTCTTGAGTTTGGTACCCAAGTGATGCCATCCCTCAGTCTCATCCCCTCCCCAGGCAGGAGTGTGAGCGCAGTTTCCAAGACTGGTTTGCCAGAGTGTAGTGTAAATGCCATGCTGCTCTGCATCTACATCAGAGCAGCCTGATGATGCTTAGTCCCTCAGGGGGCACTTGATCCATAGTCTCACATTATTTAGCCGCTTGGTGCCTTGGACATTAACCTCGAGTCCACATTGGGTAGGCTTCGCTCTTACTGGTTAGGAAGAGTTCTTGAACAGACAGACAGACACACAAAGGCTGTGTCTACATTGGCGCGATCTTGCGCAAGAACACTGACATTCTAATGTGTGAAATCAGGGCTTCTTGCGCAAGAACTATGATGCTCCCACTCAGGAATAAGCCTTTTTGTGCAACTGTCTTACGCAAGAGGCCAGTGTAGACAGGCAACATTAATTACTTGTGCAAGAAAGCCCGATGTTTAAAATGGCCATCAGAGCTTTCTTGCGCAAGAGAGTGTCTACACTGGCAAGGATGCTCTTGCGCAAAGGCACATGCCAGTGTAGACGCTCTCTTCTGGAACAGTTTTTGCACAAGAACTCTTCCGCAAAAGAGTTCTTGCGCAAAATCATGCCAGTGTAGACGTAGCCAAACTGTCTCAACTATATAGTAGATTGTGATACTGCATTGAACGCAGGCCATGTGAGGTATCAGGGGATGGATTATGATCCCTCTAAAGTCACTGTTTTGTCTAAATTCAGATCAAGGCATGAGAATGTGCTGTCTGGTTCTCAGTAAAATGTGCTGTGGGTTTGGGAAGTGTCCAGATTCCAGCTCTCCAGTGACAATGCCAAGGGAGGTGAGAAACACCCCGGTGGGTGCTGGACAGACATCACTGGCCATTGGCCAGCAGAGGAGTTACAATTCAACAGGCCCACTGACAGGGGTGGCAAAGGGGCAACTGCCCCGGGGCCCAGCGATTTGAAAGGGCCCAGGCCTCCTGGTCACTGTTGCTCCTGTGGCAGCGGCAGCCACAGTTGGAGCCCTGAGCCATTTAAATCACCGCCACAGTATTGCAGGGCTTTCTCCAGGTGGTGCTGAGGGCTGCCTGGGGGAGGTTAGCCCTAGCCCTGCCCCTTCCATCTGAGACCCCGCCCTCTGTGGGAGCACAGAGCTGGCCACCCTTCCCCCCACCTTGCCCGGGGCCAGGCAATTGTGTCAGCCTCATTGCAACTCCATGACTCACTCACATATTTCACCTTGGGACTCCACAGTGCCCACCAGATATGCCTGGATTCTGTCCTCCAAGCGCATGGACTAAACCAGAACCCAGGGGCACCATGCTTGGCCTTTCTCCTGCCCCCACCTATGCCACAAGCAGTAAGGATGCGCAGGAGACTAAAGACTCCAGCAGAGGAGACTGGCTCAGGTTTCAAGAGGGAGACCTGTGATACCCAGTGGGGTGAGGGAAAACCTGCTTAATTTAGTTGTTGACCAGTCAAATAGAGTTGCAAGTTTAGTCTACATGTTTATATTTTATTTCTTTCGGTCCCTCACTCTGACTCTTTGCCTTACACTTATAACCCCTATCTTTTGTAGCCGGTCCATTAGTTTAACTGCTTCTTTGCCAGTGCGTTTTGCCTGACGTTTCTGGCGAGGGTTACAAAGCCTGGTGTATCGCCTGGTGTATTGCTGGGGGATTGGCCTGGTGCCTTTCTCTGTGTGATTCATGATTGGCTCTGAGAGCAAGCATGCAGTCTAGCTGGGTGTGGGGTTCCATATGTGCTTGGGCAGAGTGCTAACAGCACATGGAAGGGGTTGCTGCTTGTCACTGGCACAGCATTGTAAGACAGCCCAGGCTGGAGCGGTAGGGGGCCCACAGTCCCAGGCTTCACTCTAGGGATCCTGCCACAGTCCCCACCCCGTGGCCTGCAGCACAGGACCCCTAGGATTCAGCGCTGAGTGCAAGAGAGCACCCCCCACCATTGAGCACCATAGAGCCACACTCAGGCAGGATTCATGGTTGATCCCAACCTTGGTTCTGTTGTGTTCCCTGGGGGAGCCAAAGCAGCTTCTATGTCCTCATCCCCTTCACTCTCTGCTCCCTCCTCTTCCTTCTCCCCTTCCTCCCAGGCTGAATCCTCTCCTAGATCTGGAATGGCAGATACAGATGTTGAAATTCTTGGGTGGGGTGGCAGGAGGCAGTGCTGGGACACAGGATGGGGGTGGGGAGGGGAGTTTAAGACTAAGGGGCTATGTCTACACTGGCACCCTTTTCTGGAAATGCTTAAAACGGAACAGTTTTCCGTTATACGTATTTCCAGAAAAAGCGAGTCTACATTGGCAGGATGCTTTTCCGGAAAAGCACTTTTTGCGGAAAAGCGTCTGTGGCCAATGTAGATGCGCTTTTCTGGAAAAAAAGCCCCGATCGTCATTTTCGCGATCGGGGCTTTTTTGCGGAAAAGACTACTGTGCTGTCTACACTGGCCCTTTTCCGGAACAGTTTTTCCGGAAAAGGACTTTTGCCCGAACGGGAGCAGCATAGTTTTTCCGGAAAAACACTGACAATTTTATAGTAGATCGTCATTGCTTTTCTGGAAAAGCAAGCGGCCAGTGTAGACAGCTGGCAAGTTATTCTGGAAAAGCGGCTGCTTTTCCGGAATAAGTGGTCCAGTGTAGGTATTCCATAGCAAAGGGATACAGCGATCAGATAAAATGGATTGACAATATATTTAAAGGAGGTACTCTTTAAAGGAGCAGAACAAGAAGGGAAGGGATGGTTCAGGTATCCTATGGCTGGTATGGCAGGGGGGGGAAACCACTCCCCTTTTTTTTATCTCGCTCCCCCCCC